TTAAATTTTAAAATATTTATTATAAAAATTTTCTTAAAATTCATATTATCAGTATTAAAAATGAACGTTATTATAAATATAGAATATATCATATAAGAAGTATTAGGTAATAATTAATATACAGTAATAATTAATAAAATATTACATCAGAAAAATTAAAATATTAAAGATTTGCATGATTTACCTAATTCTTCTAATACTAAAATATTTATTATATCTGTGATAATAAATAATTTTTATTTTTAAATTTCTTTGTTATTTTTATTTTTCTTATATTTTATATCTGTATTTTATTTTATTTTACTATTATATTATAGCTAAAGTTTATAAATATAGTTAATTTATAATATAGTAAATAGTTAATTATAATAAATTAATTTTATATAAATAGAATAACTTTTGCTCAAATTGTAAATTAATTCTTAGGTGATTTTAAGTTATAAATAAAGAAATTAATTTAAAATTACAAATTACTTTTTAATATTATTTTATCTAAAATTTGTTACAATTTTTTATATTAACTTGTTTTTGAGTTTATTATTTAATTTAACAAATAAATTTTAAATTTTAAGATATATAAATTACAAAATTGATTCAAATATAATAGATCTGTAAAACTTAAAGAATATTTTAAGCTTATAAATTTCAATAAATAGAATCAATTGCTATAGCTCTTTTGATTTAGATGTTAAGTTAACTTAAATTAAACCCAATAATAACATAATCTTTACCAAGTTATTTTTCAATTATGAATATATTTAATGATAATATTATTAGTGTAAATTATTCTAAAGATAAAGATAAAGCTTTTAAATTAATTAGTTTTAGATTTAAAATTTATTATATCAATAATATTTTTGGCAGATTTTAATATATTTATCAAGAATGAATAATATATTTTAAAGCAAATTATAATTTTTCTGAAGTAAAATATTCTTTAGAAATTTTTAATTTTAATATAAATATAATTTATTAAAAATGATGAATTTTCTTCAACTTATAGAATAATTTTAGATAAATATATGACATATAATAACATTTTTTACCTTCTTTTATTTTAAAATTTATAATAGCAATTGTTAATTTTTTAAAAAATAGATTTTTTGATTCAGAGATTTATAATACATTAAGGATTTTATGATCCTAAATTTTTATTAAAAAAGAGTGAGATTTCAAATATAGAGATGGAAATATTAAAGAAAATAATTATTTATCAATTAATAAAAATTTTGCTGCATATTTTAATATAATGAATTCAAAACTAAAATGGGAAATAGTTAAATAAATTATAAAATCAATTTCTGATTTTAATCTTGTAAAAGAGATGGAAACATATTTGAAACACAAAATCGGATTTATAAAGATTGAATTATTATCCTTAATATTTAAACTTATAAGATTAGCATTAATTATTCCACTTTCTAATGCTCATGTTGAGCGTTTATTTTCTTTCATAAATTAACCAAACTAAATTGAGAAATCAGATGTATTATGATACATTGAATATGCATTTACTGATGATTTTCGGAATTGTATATATAATTATTGGTTTAATCAACAAGTTAGGCGAAGTAATGAATAAAATTAGAAATAAATAAATAAAACAATTTTATAAATAATAAATTTTTTTTAATAAACATTTATAAATATGTGGTATATTTGCACACTAACTAACTGTTGTTTTATAAAATTAAATATCGAACCCAGAAAGAAGTTGAAGCACAACCAATTAATTAAGATCTTGAGAGACCTGTGAATAGAATTCATTAGCGAAATACTATATAGTAAATCAATGTTATCCAAATTTTTAGTGACGTATGCGGACAAACAGACATCGTCACGTGATCATATTATCGAACCTCTTTAACGTAAACATATATAGTCCTTCGCTTCGCTCCGGACAATAATTTACGGTTTAAAACTAATGACCATAATTTGTATCGTGCTCATTTTTTAGGAGTATATTATTTTTCATTGGGTAAAGTTTAAAAAAACTCAATGTATAATATTCCCAAATATCAATTAATTACTTTGAACGCGAGGGGATTTTGTTTCCTTGCTTTGCAAAGCAACGGGATAATGGGGTTGGATCTAAAATGGAATATAGAAATTATGATTAATTACTTGTATTCATTTATTAAAAGTAAGGATGAATAAAGGTAGGATTATATATACCGATCATGCCGGGAAACGTCCTGGAACTAAATACTGTAAATGTATTAGAACGTACCGATTCTAGCACGTTTATAGGCATAAAACCCAAGTTTATACTGCCCTGCCTGAAATTAATATAAATTCAAGTAAATCTCTGATCAAAAAAATTTTTTTTTTTTATTACGAAAAATTTAAAAGGATGTAAATTAATAAGAGAATTTTTACCAGCCAATGCATATCAGATTAAATTCAAAAAAAAATTGACCATCAGATCGAACACTCAAATCTTTGTAAACGAACCATATATCTTTATTTCCCGAAGTATCTTCCAACTTTTGGCCATTTGCAAACTTCTCTCCGATGAGGTACACCGACGTAACCTCGAGACCTGTTTGAAATTCGTGCAAGTTGGCTTGTAATATGAAGAAACCAGCGTCGATCGAATCAATATTAATCGGTTTATTTCCATCAAGGATTCGGAGGCGCACAAACGGTAATGGGGAGATGAGTCTTCTGCCCTGAAAATGATTTAATTATTTTTAACTAAGATATGAATGTCGTTTGCGGATGAAATTTGAAAATTTTACTTACCCTATCTTCTCCAAATCCGCTCATTCTTGCATGAATAGGTTGTTGGACAACCTCAAGTTGAAACCTCCAATTAGTAATGCTAAATATAAAAATGTCAATAATCCGATGAAGGTTTCAATTTGTGACTTTATGCGAGGAAAAGAACTGCCTACCTAGGTTCCATTTTTTTTTTTCGGTTTAAGTTGGATGAAGAGACGGGATATTATGGTGATTAGAAATAGGGGTCAGATAGAAATGGTGAAATGGAAAGTCGTAGTAATGGTCAATATTGGAAAACGGCGATAGGGAAGGTCAATTTCCTGGTCATATTTATAATAAAGATGGATTAACTTTCTTTTTCCTTTTTTTCTCTTTTTCTTCTTTTTTTTTGTTTATATTTGGTAGATTTTTTTTTTTAAAAAAAAAAAAAGAACAACGAACCAATTTTATTAATGCATACGCAACAATATAATTGACGGAACCGGACTTAGCGCAATAGAATATTGAATCGAATAAAAAAAAAATGACTGTGAAACGACAATTAAAGCGAAATGCGCTTAATTAATTGCACCAAATGCGCTAAACTTCAAACGTTTTCCATTATGACTAAATATGGAAAGAATAAAATTATAATACATGCTTACAAAACCAATCAATTAGACAATCCACATTACCGCATTATCACATAGATTATGTCAAATTTCATCACATCGTTAGTATTTTTAAAGTTCAACAATTGGTGATTAGGTCACAATTATATTGTTAAATCAAATGGGTCACAAGTCAACCGGTTAAGTAAGTTCATTTAAAGTTTAAAAAAGACCGTTCTAGCCAGTTCATGAATGTATAAAAATTATGTCTTGCATATATATTGTTCAGAGTTAAACATGACCTGCCTTTTAAATATTGAAAATGCAATTATATAATATTATAGTTTTATCAGTTTGGGAATTTACCGCGTCCAAAAGTACTAGACTCAAATAACATTCAAAGTTCCATTTACCTTATTGTGGTGAATTATATCATTCCTTATGAATCTTTTCGTCGTTTCTCCATTTTTAATTGTAATGTCCACTGAAATAATTGTAACCAGTCCCGTTTCATTTAGGGATTGTACGGTTAGATTTTTTCATATGATCTTATATACTGCTTAGATATGACGAAAATGGTTAAATATTGAATGATAAGGACTTCTCTTTTTAAATTATTCACATAATTAATCTAGTCATATTATTTCAACTTTTATTATTTTTGATTATCGAATCTGTCATATGAAGAATAATTTTGTATGAACTTTATATTTATTGTTTATCGGGTGCGGAACCTATCATTGTTACAAAAAACCGAAATCTTTCCATCTAATTTCTACTTATCATGTCAGGGTTATCATTGTAATAACAATTAAAAAAATTTCTTTGTCTTGGTCGTTAAACTTTATTAATTCTTTTTTTAAAAAACAAAAAAAGCGGCTAATTTAGACATCATGTTACAAAAAGCGTAATTTTCTCAATCCTTTTTTTTTTCTATCTTTGTGTAGAAATTTATCGCTAAAGTAAAAAGTAAGAATTATCACGAAATGTTACGTAAAACAAGTTTCCTGCAACCATGCCGGTTTTCCTTTTATATGTTAAATATTTACACGATATTTTAATATGCCAATACTTCTTTATTTGACAGATTCGGTTACACCTTTAGTCACGTGAATTGTAAATCTGTGTAAGTAAAATGCTAGGGTAAAATGCTAGGATAAATAATTTTCATTAGCAGATATGAATTTTTTTTTTAATTTAAAAATTTTTGTAAATTTTCCTAAGAATATAAATATAGAAAGATATTCACATTTAATTAATTTAAAACTTTATTTAAATCAAAATAAATAAATAAATAAGTCAATCAATAAACAAATATGCTACCTCCATTCTAACGATAAATGATCTCATTGAAAATGCTATTACATCAAAGAAACACAACGTGGCAATCCCAAACTCCTTCATTACATTGCATAGGGATTATTGTAGTAAGCAAATTAAGTTATCCCCATCAAAGGTTTCAAAAATCTTATCCGAAATGAAAGATCCGAATTTGACATTGAATTAATCACTGTTTAAAAATGGGAATTTGTTATCTCAAAGTTTTTATTGCTGACCATTATAAGAGTTTCAGTTTCAGATTACATACATAATAAATGAAAACTTTTAACGCGTCGATAAATTTGTAAACTACACTATTGCTTTACTACACATTCACAAATATATATATATTAAAAAATGCGATGTTAACCACCAAACATCTACTCTGCGTACACTAAGTTGTTTATTCTTTCGAGAAAAAAATATATATTACCATTTTGGTTCTTCGTTTTAGCCTTTTATTGTTAATAATTGATTAGTCAACGTGGAAATAATACGGTTTCCTTTTTTGGAAATAAATCTTATTTCTAACATATAGTCATGAAACGTGAATTACCTCGAGCGTTTTTTTATATGCATACCATTCAAGTTTAGAGGAATTGGAAAGTTGCAAAGTTAAATTCAAATTGAACAAATGTCCTGCGCACAATACAAATTATTTTTTTTATCTACGTGTGTTTTTATCAAGTTCAGTACCAAAACATATGTGTTAAATATGTGTTACGGTTAGGAATGTGTTCTTTATTTTCATAACAGCCGCAGCATCACTTATATAATGAAATGTGATAATATATCAACTACTCAGATAATGAATAACTGATCAATTTTTTGCTTTCTATCGAAACTTATTGTTCTGGGTAAAAAGCTATATAATTAAAACTCGTTTCTCCCGATGAATGGCCTCATCTCATCATCCTCACTCAAGTTTTCATCTATAGTGACCTTTGCGAAAGCCATTAATGCATGTCAAATGACTTGATTATCAAAAAAGGGATCTTTTTTTCTTTATTAGCAATGCGAATCAAATCAATTAAAGATCTCCCGGGTACAGGTTTGTGTAATACCCATTGAAATTCACCCACGTGATTATTAATTTTGGTTAAAAGCGATGGTAACAATTTGTAAAAATTAAGATAAAAAACTTTACCTTCACAATACTTATTTGTACGTTATAGAGTCAATGTTCAGTAAGGCTCCTTGCGAAGTTTATGCTGAGCTGTTAGGCAATTCTTTTGACATGTGATTTATGGTATAAATTGCTCTCTTTTTTTTTTTTTTTTTTTAGTTTATTGAAATATATTTCTTTAATTTCAGAACTTTATATAATTTAGATGGTGGAAGAAAATGCTTTCACGCTAAAAGTCAATTGGTCGATTTTTATAGCTTTAATATCAATTGGTTTTGCTTTTTTGCATTATAATACCCCTCAAGGATTTTAGATAAAATTCTATCGCTCTCGCTGAAATCAGATATTTTAAAAAAGGTAATAAAGTCTTGTAATACTCTTCTTAATAGATCTTATATTGGAGTTACATCATCAACTGATTCTTCTTATGTATAACAAAAAGTCCTAGAGAAACAAAAAATTATCAAAAAAAAAAATTCTTTCATAGCAACCAATGGAAAACAGAATTCTAATTTTTTTCACCACAACTAAGACATTTAAATAGATAATAAATAGAGCATACGAAATTATTGAATCCTTTGACGGTAAATCCGATTCATTATAGTATATGGAGCTGAAACTACGTAACTTGATTTTTTAAGATTATATCGTCCTTGATCGGATCAATATTTATTGCTGACATTCCAAAAGTTACATGATGGTGAGGTTAATATTCTATCGCATTGAAAAAGTCGTATATTGCTTAGCTGAGATTTTATATACAATTTCTAATTCTCCATCAAAATCTATATACAGACCGTAAATTTTGCAATGGAATTTGGAATTGAAGTTATATTGGCAAAACTTCATAAACGTGCTCGGGTAGTGGATCTAGTATCGCGTATTGTTAAGGATACTTCTTTATGGTTCCTGAACTTCTTCACGAATCATTAGCAAAATGGCTTTTGCATAAGGATGATGCTGAACTTTCAAAGAAGTGTGATCAAGTTATAGAAATTTTTGTGTCAGAACCTCCAAACATTTTTCCCTTGTCGAAATCTTTCAACTCTGACAATTATTCTTTAGCCAGCTCAATGATTATTTAGTTCAAATGCATAAGTGGAAATTCTGGCGCTCATCATGTAATTACTTCTGGAAAAGATACTAATATGTTAACTATAGAATCAAAAAGGGTC